ATACTAAAGTATTAGGGTTATGCTATGAAGTAGATTCTGGGATCTAAGTAAACTCTACAAAAACATGTCAGTTTAATAAAGATAAATTAGATGAATTAAATGAGTTAAATAATTTAAATACATCAAATATATTAGAAAATATATATAACCTAGATACTAAATCAGATTTGAATTTTTTTAATCAACTTCTGTTATATAATAGTAGCATTATTGTTACTGTTACTAATAGTTTAGGTAAAAGAGTTAAAAAAAAAAGACTTTTACCTATTTCAAAAGACTGAATCTAAGAGAAAGTTGGATGTAAACTTATTTTAGACAAAATAAAGTTAAAAAAAAATTATTGCAAAGTTATAATTAAAGATAAAAATAAATTAGAAAAAGAATGTAATAATAACTATAAATTATTAACTAAAACAAGCAATTTAAAATCTTGCCTTTGTCAAATTTACAAAATTTTGCCATCTGAAGAAAATAATAATCAGAATCAGTTAACTAAAATAGCTTCTAACCAACTATCATTACATAATTTTCTAAATAAAAAAACACTCTTATCTACTTCAAAGCAAAATAAAATTACAAATCATATTTTAGTCTGGATTATTAATAATTTTTAACTATTTAATGCTACTACTAATAATTGTTTTTGTGATATAATTCTTGAATATGAACTGAGGTTTGAGTTTCTCTGCTATGATAAATTAAAAGAAAAATTAATGCAGTCTGTGCTTTTTGCTGAACAACAGCTTAAAAAACTACTACAAACAATAATGAATTCTTTTTGCTTTACAACAGACCTTTGGTCTCAAATGTATTAGTCTTATATTGTTGTAACTATTTATTGAATCAGTTCTGAATTTAATTTATACTAAGCATTATTTACAATTCAAAAATTTGATTATCCTTATACTAGTAATTGAATTGAAGGTTTTTGTTATCAACTTTTTGATCAATAGAGAATATATAAAAAACTTTTAGGTGCTTTAATGAATAATGCCTCTTCAATAACTAAAGCTATGGATCAACTTAGTGTTGAGCATATAGGTAAAACCATCTTACAAAAATAATCACTGTTTTTGAATTAATAAGATTATTAAATTTTGTGAATCTTACAAATTTCACATATTATTATTGCTAAAGCAATAACAATATATAGGATTTGTGAAATTTATAAAATTAAATAATCTTACTAATTCAAAAACAGTAATTATTTTTAATTTTATTTTTATATAAATTTTAGTAAAACAGATTTTAACCTTTGTGCAAAATTTAATTCTCATCTAGGTTGCACTGTGCATACAAAAAAACTTGCATTAGGAGATAGATTTGATGTTACAAAAGTTAGTAACTTAATAAATAAAGCAAAAACATTAAATAGCTATGTTAGTAGTAAACATAAATATTATGAAAGTTTTTATAAATTACAAGCTGAATTAAATCTGCAGTACCAAGTTAATTCTCTTTCAAGTATTACAAGAACTTAGTAAAGTTCAACTTATAACTTTTTAAAAAATCTTTTTTATTTTCATAATGCTATTGAAAGATTGGTTAACAACTTAAAACAAAATATTAACAGGCAAGAATAACAAGATAAAACAAAACTTTTAGATCTTCTTTTATCAATAGAAGAATGGAATTCAATAGATGAGTTAGCAAAACTCTTATATCCTTTTGCACAAGCAACTGGATATATTGAAGAAAGCCAATATTTCAATTTAGAAATAATAATTTCTACTCTTATTAAGCTTTTACATCATTTAAAAGAATTTTATTCTACAATTACTTTGCAAACAGTAAAAGCCTGTTGCAGTAAAATCAACTAATTGATACTGTTAAGGTGGTCTGAGCCATTGTCACATAGTCTAATAGCTGTTTTTTTAGATCTAAGATTTAAACAAATAAATTTTGTAATAGCTAGTAAAAAAAAAGAACCTATTTTTTATCTTTATTCTTTATTTGATACACAAGAACAATATACTTTTATTTAAAAATTTCAACCTTTAAACACTAATTTTTTTTTTTTTTTTTTTTATGATGATAATTACATTATTTTAAATGAAACTAAAAATGTATTATTAATTGAAAAAAAGTAGTACTTTATAATAGTTTATCTCAAATTCCTAAATATTATATAATGGATAAAAAATATCATAAAGTTAATCCATTAATTTGATAGAATGAATGCAAAGCAATGCTTTTTCTTCTTTTTTAACAAGCAAGAAAATACTTGGTCTTTCTAGCTATATCAGTTCTTTTAGAAAAGGTTTTTTCAACTGTTGGCAATACAATTACTAATAAGCAAAATTAATTAAATTCTGATACAGTTCATAATTTATTGGTTTCTTAAAGAAAATTCAAAGATCTTTATTATATATCCAAGTTTAGGTAGAAAATTTTGTTATTTCATAGTATAATACAAGTATTTTTACTAATAAAAAAATTCTATATAATTAGTTGACAAGAAAAAAATAAAAGGCATTGTTAAATAAATATTATGCAATTTTTTCCAAGTAGATATAGATATGATAAATATAAATATACATAGTTAACTCTTTTTAAACTGGCTTTTGTTGAACTCTAAATAAAACAAAAAAATTTAAAACATTGTAATTTTTATTAGTAGTTCAGATTTGAGATATAATAACTCTTTAAAAACTAAATGGTTAAAAATTTTTATATATATCTTAAAGAACTTTTTAGTCAAAATAAAAAGGATTAACTATTATACTACATAAAATATATAAGAGCTTTAAATATATTAAAATATATTAAACATTATTTTTTATATATCAGAAATATAAAAAAACTCGACTTCTGATAGCAAGCATAGTTATTTTAGATTAGTACATAGTTTCTTAAACTATAGAAGAAATTTCAAAAATAGTAATTTTGACTAATAGTAAAAAAAATTGGCTAAAGCAAATTATTGGCTTAGCCAATTAATTTTTCTAAATCAGCTAATCAATTTGGTATAGTCAAAAGATGCTATTATAAAAAATTCTAATATAGAAAATGAATAAACCTAAAAATATTAATAAGGTTGAACTTAAAAATTTTTGTAAATTCTGAAAAATTTCAAATTAAAGAACAATAAAAATAGGCAAAGTAATTACTTATTATGTAAAAAGTTAAATTACACTATATACTAATTTAATATGTTATTAGTTGTATAAGTATATATTATTAGTAAATTGTTATATAATATAATTTGGTTTTTTATATAATAAGTAATTACCTTTGCCCATCTCTAAAAAACAAGCTGACCAAGCTGATAAATTTACATAGCTAAAATCTTGAAGCTATATATAAATAAAAAATTAGTAAAATACTTTTATAACTCTGTGCAAGTTATCTAGCTATATTTGCTAATCAATCATTTTGTTTTAGCTAGCTTAGCCAGCTATGCCAGTTTAGCTATAGCTATCTTAGCTGCATTAGCTAGCTAAAAGTTTTATATTAGCTAGCTTAGCTAGCTAAGCTGGCTTAGCTATAGCTAATTATATAATCTTTAGTCATATTAGTTAACTGATCATATTATATTAGCTAGTTTAGCTAACTAAGTCAGCTTAGCTACAGCTGCTATAGCTAGCTTAAATCACTAGTTCCAAAGGACAATGTTATTTAACTGTTACATAAATGCTCTATAACCTGCCAGTCATGTTGGTGCAACTGCTATTACAAATATTCTAATCCAATCATTGATAACAGTTGCTATAATATAAATATTACATAGGTAATTATTCAAATTTTTCATCATCGATAAGATTTGAATGCTCAATCTATTACTTGAAGTGTTGATAACCTGACCACTTTACTAGGTCACTACATTCTTTTAATATAGTTTTGAGATTTAACAAAAAGAATGAATATTTAGCAAACAGTTTTATATTCTAATTTAAAATATATATTTAAAAAGTTTGGTTAATTTAAAATATTATAATAATTGTTTAATTAATTTAAGATATATATTATACAATATGTAAGATATATATTGAGTTATAACAATAGTATTGAATAATAGTAATTAAATAAATTTAATAATTATCAATATCAAAGTATAATTGATAAATATCTAATAATTAATATTTACTAATATTGATTAATATTGAGTAATAATGCATTTATTGATATATATTAATATTTTTCTAATAATATATATTAATCAGTGTTGAGCTGACCAGACTAGTTTAACTATTTAACTAGACCAATTTGATTATTTGACCAGCTTGGTTAAAAATTTTTACAGATCAAATAGGTCAAATAGCATTTTTGAATATAATTTATTATATAATAAATATATTATATTTATATAAATAACTTAATCAATTTGACCAGTTTGACCAATTGACCAATTTGACCAATTGACTAATTTGATCAGCAAATTTTTGCTTGACTAATAATTTGTCCAATACTAATATTGATATAATATTAAATATTAATATATATATATATCCAGTAATAAAATTTTTTAATATAGCCTTTATTTACATTTAGTGCTATCTATTACTATTGCAGTAATTTGATTTTTAGTAGCTTCTGTTTTATTGTTATAATCAACTATATTTGCATATTGATTTGTTGTACTGTTTTGAGTTACTATTGTGTTTAAGCTTGCTAGTATAGACATGCTATAATTATTGTTGTTGTTTATAATATGTTGGTTGTTATTATTACTTTTTATTTCTATTATATTGTTATCAAAACTAATTTAAGCTAGTTTAGTTTTGTTGTTATTGTTTGGTAATAATGTTATATTTATTTTTGTCAAGAATATGCCAGTTTTACTATTTTTTGCTCTTTTGTATAATAAAATTAGGTTAAAGTAAGTTTTTTTTGCTTTTGTAATAAAGTATTTTATGTTTATTCAAGTTTTTTTTTGTTTGTATTGTTGCTATTGTTGCTAGTTTTGCTTTTAATATTGTAGTTCTTTATTTTGAGCTTTTGTTCTGTTTTAAATATAAAGTTACAAGTTAGCCTAAGGGTCTGTTGCTTTAGCATTTTGTTTGTTATTAATGTTGTTTTTTTTTTATGCTTTATTTTAGCTTATATTAATCTATAATATGCTGTTCTTATTGTATTTTTTTTTTTTTTTTTTAACCTTAAGCAGTTACATTAGTACTTTATTAAGATTCTTGAGACTATTTATATTTATAATTACATAGAATTTTTCAATACTTAAGTCTAGCATCACTCAGTCATCCTATTGGTATCTAAGTGCAACCTGTCACACTATTTTAGTTAGAGATAGACTGCTCATCTAATTACTTAAAGCCATACCAAAAGGGTCTTCCCCCCTTTGTAATAAGCATATCAATTGTCTTCCAAGATTTTTTCTTTATTCATTCACTCTTTCTAATTTTTTCTTCTTTTCTTCATTTTTTGTCATCTTATTCTTCTTTGTTCTCTTCTCTGATCTTCTTTTAGTTTGAACATCTTTTTTTATTTTGCTTATTATGTTAACCTTCTTTTTTCATTCTTGTACTTTTTCATAACAGACTCTTCATACTTGGTTATAAAATGTATTCCATACTGTTCTTGTTACTATATTCATGCATTTTTGTATTGCCTGTCTGTTTAGAATTTGACTGATTCTTTTTCTAACCTTATTTATTATTAACTCTTTTACTAAAGCTGTTTTATTAGTAATTTCCTCTGCTTCTGTTTTTTCAAATAATGCCTTATATAGCACAAAAGGCAGAATTTTAACTCTTTTATTTTCTTTAAAACTGTTCTATGTTGCTGTTATTGCTACCTTTTGAATCCTCTTCTACAAGCTTTTTTGTTTAATGTAGCTTGCTAAGTATGCTTGTGTTTCTTTCTTACATCTTTGACATACTTGGCAATTAGTTGTTGTATATATTTCTGGTCTTCTTCTATTTAGTTCTTTTAGCATTAGTAGACTGTCCATTATGCATTTAATTGCTGTAGCTCTTCTTGTACTAAGTTTTCGTGTTATGCAATGTACACTTTTTGTTCTATTCATCTCTTTCCAAAAGCTTAATCAATTATATCAAGTGTTCTCAGTTTCTGGCTCTAGTGCTCAAATTGGGTTTGTTTCTCTCCAACTAGCTCCAATTTTGGCATT